AAATAGAGGGGTTTTGGGGGTGTTGCTTTCAGGTTTACTGGGGGAGAGGGTGGCAGAAAGTAGCCTAGATAAAATTCTCTGGATAACCTAGGAATTTTTTTTTTTTCCTACCCAGGGGTCAGATGGCAGCAATACATCTTTTAATTTCCTGGCTGCTGGTGCCAAGAGTGTCGATTGTGGAGACAAGCAGACTAAAGCTGTGAACAATCTCAATCTCTTCACCATCCATCCTGATGCTATCAATTGGTCCAGTGGTGAGAATCTTTGTCTTCTTAACATTGAGCCTCAATTCATATTGAAGGCTGCAGTCCCTGACCTTCTGCAGCAAGCGCTTCAGGTACTCCTCAGTTTCAGCAAGCAGGGTTGTGTCACCTGCATAATGCAGATTGTTGATAGATCTTCCACCAGTCTTGACCCCACATTTCTCCTCATACAGGTTGAAAAGATATGGAGACGGGACACATCCCTGGCATACGCCCATCCCAATTTTGAACCTTGCTCTGTAAAAGTTTCGCATTAGCATGATCAAGTGTTCTGGGATTTCCATTCTTCTCAGAGTCAGCCACAATTTGTTATGGTCCACACAGTCAAACACCTTTGCACAATCAATGAAGCACAGATAGACATTCCTCTGGTAGTCCCTGCTTTCAGCCAAGATTCATCTAACATTAACTACAATATCCCTAGTACCACAACCCCTTCTAAACCCAGCCTGGACTTCTGGCAGTTCTCTGCTGATGTGCAGTCGTTTTTCGATAATCTTCAGTAGAATCTTGCCTGCATGTGAAATCAATGATATTGTTCTGTAGTTTCCACACTCTATTGGGTCACCTTTCTTTGGAATGGGAACAAATACAGGTCTCTTCCAGTCAGTTGGTCAAGTGGTTGTTCTCCAGATTTCTAGGCACAACTTGGTGAGCATGTCCAGGGCAACATCTGTTAGCTGAAATATGTCAATTAGTATACCATCTATTCCTGGGGATTTATTTTTTGCTGTTTCCTTCAAAGCAGCTTGAACTTCTTCCTTCATCACCATAGACTCTTGCTCATATGTTGTTTCATTAAATTCTTCTGTGTCTGCCAATTCCTTTCGATACAATGACTCTATATTCTTTCCATCTTCTTTTGATATTTCCTGGATCGTTTAATGCTCTGCCTAAAGCATCCTTGGTTATAGGAACTCGAGGTTTGAATTTGTTCTTCAGTTCCTTGAGCTTAAGAAATGCTGAGCGAGTTCGAC